CAGAGTTCAGCCGACCACAAGAAGACAATATACTGAGTTTAGCCTTCAATAAGTAATCAGAAACTCCTACGCACTGTGCACTCAGCCGAAGTACCTTTTCAAAGCTGTGCACTCAGCCAAGAAGAGTAAATACCAATCGGTATTGCTGAACAGGCCTTTTCACAAACACAGTGTGGACAATAGAGACAACCCCACTGTCAAGGAAGAGAAAAGACCCCAAAAACAGTTCGTACAACCCCTTAAAACAGCCAAAATATGAGTAACAATACACAACCTTGTTACAAGGAAGTTTCGGCAGGTTTTAACAGTCCAAGAAGAAGAGAAAAACAGCCCAGAAATTTTTGGGTTAAACCAGATTTAATGCAATCGAAGGTAGTACAGAATAGCTAGGATTTTCGAACACTTGAACAGTCCAAACACAGTCGAAGATAATACAAAACAACCAGAAAACTGAGCACAACTTACAGTTCGAGCTTCAACAGTCCAAACACAGTCGAGCTTCAGAGCAGAAAAATGAGCACAACTTACAGTTCGAGCTCCAGTAGTCCAAACACAGTCGAGCTTCAAAAACAGAACCGAGTTGTTCCCCTTCCCCTCTTTTTTCTCTGATTCTTCCTGGCCACCGAACCACTTCCCCAAGAGATTCTAATCTTGGGCTCATCCACTGACCTCCAAGAATCAGGCAGTACGTGACTAAGCTTCTAGCCCTATGATATTCAAGTTCAGATACGCTCTGATACCATGAAGAAAACTGAAGAGAGGAGAGCTTGAGAGTTCAGCAATGAGGATCTAAGAATGAGAGTTTCGAACAACTCTCTCAGCACCCTAACACTCTTTTATTAAGATATATTTGAATAGTTACAAGGAGACCCTTAGTTGGGCAAGAATTTACAAAGAACTTAATATAGACAGGATGKGCCYAGARWAAGGCCCATTACAGAAAAGAAACATAAATAACAAGAAAGAATAAACAACCTATGGGCCATTCGGCCCATCTTCTCTACAAAAAAATAGAGTAATAATATCATCACTAGTAAATAAAAGGAAATAGAAATTTGTTCATCCTGTAGCTACATCATTGCACATACTGTGGAAAGGAATTCATCGGGACAATAAACTTACAATGCATCACTTTGCTCTAACCAATCTCAGCGGTAGGGTCTCCATTGCGAGCTGAAACCAGAGATAGATAGCATTAAAAAAAGAAAAGATCAATGATGCCTGTTCTTATCTACTGAATCAATGCTTACCCATAGCCTAGGAGTTCTTGGATCAGATTTTGGGTACAGTTTGGATAGATCTGACTGGAAGGTAATGACTATGGAAACCTGAAACTCAATTGAAAATGGACTGCAAATAGAATTCACATAAACAGTTGTCAAGATTTTTGATAGTAGTATGGGTTAAGACAAAAGATCCATCATACTTAGTTTGTCATTTTGCTCTTTAGAATTGTCGAGGTTATTGTAAGGTACAAAATAAAAATCCTTCAAGAATATATAGGAATTATTGTCACTTAAATTATACAAGAGAAACTGGTTAAAGCTGCAAATATGACACCATAATGCCAATTTCTCTACCCTAATCAATTTCTCTTTTGTCCTAAATCACCCTCAAACCCTCCTATACTCATTCTAACCCTCTCAAACCCTCCTATACCCATTGTAACCCTCCTATACTCATCCTTTGGTCATTCAAGTCCTACATAATTTATTAAACATAGGCATTGCTATAGTTCCACGGATGACCAGGGTTGGGTTGCTTTCGAGTGTGGACTTTGGAGCAACGGTTGAGTTGCTCCATTGCAACCTGGGTGACCAGGGTTCAAATCTTGGAAACAGCCTCTGTGTATCCGCAGGAATAAGGCTGCATAAGTTGTCCCTCCCCATATCCTGCATTGACAGGAACCTTGCTCTGGGCTGCCCTTAGTGCTATAGCTCAGAAGAGCATTTTAAACTCAGTTTGCCATAACAGTTGGGGAATCAACCATTGAAATTAACTATTTAATTAGGAAATCGAAGGAGAAGTTGGTAGAGAAGGAAAAATATAATCACGGGCTTCTCATTGACCCAGAAAAGGTAATGAAAGGTCCCCAAAGAGGAGAAAGAAAGGTTGATATGACTAAGTACACGTCTATAATGCCATTATTAGCAGAGTGTAGTTGGAGAAGAAAGAAAATTTCAGATTAAAGTAGGAAAATTCCAAGGTTCAGCATTAAGCCAATATCTTTTTTGATTTGCCATGGGTTAGTAGACTAGCAATTTATAGGAGGTAAATCCAATGGTGTATGTTCTTTGTTGCTAATATAGTAATTAAACATTTGCAGGAGATAAGCACATGTTGTATTGTCATTTATTGCAACAATCAAAAGATTGATAAGAATAAACAAGGGTTAGGTCTAAATGCATAGTCCAACCACAGATTAATGCCTAAAAATACTAAGATAGGTCAGATCATGACAGAATAAGGCATGCAAATTTGGCAATATGAACAAGAAGGGAAATTAAGAGTGATGGTTAATAGATATTTTCCCCTTTTATTTTTGATAATTTAATGTTTGCTTGTACCAGATACAAAAGAAAATGAGGATGTCCTTGCAGAAGACTGAATTTCTATTTCATAATTTTTTTTTTCTAAGAATAATAAAACTCCTTCTATAGTCCCGTAAGATAGTAGAATATGTTCTCACATAGACCACCAAAAATACTTGGGATAAAGCTTATTTGAGTGGTCTAAAAGCAGCATACAAGAAATAAAATACCCTGTTTGGAGCTTAAACTAGCAATTCATTCAACATGAGACAACTTTTATTCACACAGTTAAATTAAAGATTTCACCCATCTCATAGTAAATTAGGTAAATAATCAAATTGACATGATAACTAAATAAAATCTTTGGTTGTTAATAATGACACAGTAAATTATCATAAACTGCAAATAAAAAATAATGCTTGCATAGACGCAATATCCCTTTTTCTCAAGGTTAAAATTTAAATGGATTAATTTGAGAGCATTATATTCAATTCGTGCTTGGAATATATTTCACTTTTTTTCATTCATTCATGAAAAAGAAAATTTAGTTATAAAGAAGGTACAACTGCAACAATTAATAAACTGTTTAGAATACAATATCTTTAGTTTCACCATGATGCAACCATGGAAAATTAAACAACATAAAGTGGGAACTCATATAGGTCAAATTGTCTATTAGGAACTCACCCAGCTAAGTTTGTAGGACAAGTCAATAGACGAGGAAGTATTACATAGATTGGTATAGTCATAGCGCGACAAACATCTCCATCTGCTATCTAGAAAGAGTGGCAAAAAAAAAAGCATTTATTAAATGAAAATCAGAAAGAAAGTGGGTTAAGATGTAAAACAATGTGTGAAACATGAAACATCACATGCCTGTGTACTTTGAATAAGAGAGGTCTCAGTAATATATTTTTCCCCAGTAAGTATTGATTCTACACGGAGCAAGTGGATATCAATTGAACGTATAGGAACTGCAGATGCTTCTACAATCAGTTCACCATTAAGAGGTTCTGTCAAAGCACATTGGGTGGATATTTTTCCTGTGACACGGAATCCACCTATTCAATAGCATGGGCTTGTCAGTCTAAGATGTACAAGTTATGAGAAATAGGGTTCTATGTTGCATCATTAACTATAGACGATGAGATGCTTTGCAACAATGAAATAGAGATAAATAAGTTGACCATATAAGAAATTCAACCTTATTTGTAAAGTTCCTTTTAAGATTTTGAATTGAGCGTACAGAAGAAGTAAAGAGACAAGGAGAAAACCTGATAGTAGCTCAGGAAGTAATGGGTGCTTTTGTGTGTCTTGAGTAATATAGAAGACAACCACCTCAGGAGAAATGGGTGCCTCAAGAAGATTGACTGAAACAGAGAAGGCAATGGAATCATTCACTGAAGATATAATTCAGTAAATGGAATGCCCAAAACAAAGAACATAATGGGCTCTTACCCTTTTCGCTTTCAATTATGAACTCCATTGTAGTAGATAGTGATTTATGCATATATCCCCTCATTATACCTACAGTAATGAGATACTATTATGGGAAGAATTAGACATACTATCAGATAAAAGGTTAATATACTGTGCAAAATTGAAAAGAAAAAGGTCATGGGAAACAGATGAAATTCCAGTAGGGAGACAAAATGACAAGCCTGATACAAAGGTCAATTGGAAAAGCAGAAAAATGTTTCACCTGAATGCTGATATTTGCTCCATGGAAGGTCTCATAAAATCTTTCAGAACTATTTTCTCCCTGTTGTTTCAAAAGTACAGAAAATGGTATCTGCAATGGCAGCTTAAAATTTACTAGATTGACAAAGGAAAAAAGAAAAAAGGAACATTACAGTTCGGTAAATATTTACCAATATAGAAGTTAAACTGAGAGAAAGCAAATTTATCAATAACAACAAATTAGTATCATGAAAAGGGGTAAACTGTTGGTAAAACAATTACTAATGATTAAAGTGAACACCTTTCGGTGTCATATTTCAAGAACAAGTATTTTAATAGATTTACTGAAATAATATTTTTTGACCAGTGAAAGGAAATTCCATTAATATGATTTACTGAAATAATATTCTCATCACAAAAATGAGCTAAACACCAATTCTAAAACTTCTAGGTATGTACACTTGGTTTGTATAAATATTTAGCATTTTCAACACCCATTTAAAGTTTTTATTCACATCAAAAGGATAGTCTAGGATTTAAAATTCTTATTATTTTGTAGTCTTTGTTTATATGGTGAGTTCATCTATACATTCTTATGGAAAGGTAGTCTTTTTTGCATAGTTGCTTCGCAAAGTTGTAGACTTTTCTCATTTTGGTTAAATGATAATACTTTTTCTTCAAAACATTGTTTCCTGCTTAGCAGCCATAATATTGTTCTTTCATAAAATATTTATTTTGATCTTACAACAGAAGAGATATGTCTGATCGAGTTTAAACTGACAATGAATATACACCATGTAAACCTCAACTACAAGAAATAAAAATTTAAAATATTGTTTGGATATACTACCTCGGTTGTACCTGAACCTAGCTTTCCAGAAGATCTAACCTCAACATTTTTATTCCTGTGTTCAAAGAGGCAACTCTAAATTAGATGAAGAATTAAGGATAACATACCAGAATCAAGGATGAAGTTCAGTCATACGCATCAATCAACCTTGTTTGAACTTGGTTATATTATATAAGAGAAACCAAATGAAGATGAAAACGCTATCATCTTACCTTTCCATGAAAATTAATCTTGTACTTAACTTTTTAAAAGATTCAGTAGACTAGAATAAATTGAAACTGAAGACTGATAGGATTTATTTTCTGGAGGATATGTTGCATGTCAAATCATTGAGCTATGGCTCCACATGGAATTCAAAGAGATTGAATTTCACCTTTTGTCACTAATGAACCAAACTCATGATTTATTGTCTTTCCACCATCCATTAAAGGGGATTCTGCAAATAATATAGCATGGTTAGGGATATTTAGTCTCAATTAATGTGAAGCTGGTCTGGATTCCCAGGGAGCAAATCGCTGTTGCTGATAGCCTAGCAAAATCAGGGGTCTTGAGAGAAAACTTGTTTAGTGATAGTTGTTTGCCATTGTAATTTCACCAAGCCGCTATAGGCTTCAGTACATCCTCTCATGTACTTCTTCTGGTTTCAATAAAAGTTATCTTTGTCAAAAAAAATAAATTGTCTTTCCACCATCCAAGGTACACAAAACTGTATTTAAAAAATAATAATGAAATGATACCAAGGATTTCTAAATGATAAGCGCTTCATAAATAGATAGATAAATAATAAAATTAGTTCTCAAAATACAATCAAGCCAATGCAGATGTTTGTTATTCTCATTTCTTGTAAAATTTTGACACTTACCATCCTAGAGGTTTGTGGAGGTTTAGCTTAAAAAAAGAGGTAGGTCTTGGCTAGTCTAATTGTCCATCCTCACAACCTTCACAGGTCTCCAATTCCTCTAATTATCTCCTTCAATCACTATAATCCCTTCCTAAGTGTATTTGTTTCTAGTTTCCAGGTTTATTGAAATAATTCTAGAAGTTCATAGGGTCACTGACTGTTGCAAATTTGATGAGTTCTTATTATTGGGAATTTGGGATCAATTATTATCAGGTGGTCAACAAAAGATGTATTCATGATATAGTTTGTTCAGCTGTCTTATACCACTTTGGTAACAAATGCATCAAGCAACTTTAAGACAACTTTTTAACTATTTCAATCTTAGTTCCCTGTCATCTCTTGTGATATTGTTAACATATGTATCGTATTAATATGGAAGAGAACTGAAGAACTGATTATAGTCATCTCATGGATGAACCAATTAGGCATGCTCATTAGTTATGATATACTCTTGAAATATAAGATGGATTATAGTTGAGGGTTGATATTATTTAGGAATCTTGGGCCAATAAATTTAAAATCGGGAATACAATCCATGACAGAGTCTTACATTTTCCAGTGTTTCTGGAATAGTTTGAATTTTGGTTTAAAGAGTTGAAATTCTCCACACTGTATAAAGAAAATCCCAATTTTCTTCTTGTCCCAAGTACAGAATTCCAAAACAGACAATTACTATAACCACGTTCAGAAACTAAAATTACTCTTTTTTCCCCTTGAAATGCAATGCTGTAGTAGACAAATTCCACGAGCAAGAACATTGAAAAAAGTAACAAATTGTACCGATCAATGAAATAGAAAAGTATAGTAAAAAAGAAAGATAAAACTTGTGGAGTTCAACTGTTGGTGGAACAATGTGTATAATACAGTAAAGGGGATCAAACAAAAGTAGATTTTTCCCTTACATGATACAGATAGGCTTTATGACACCATACAAAGATTCAATCACTCCGGCTGTTCCACCGCGAACCTTCAATTATAATTAGTATAATCGTAAATTTTGAAAGCAAATAAAGATTCTTTATTAGAAAGAGAATTAACATGAGTAGAAACGACATGAAGAAAAACTGTACCTGCATGTTCACGGCTCCATTGACGGTAAGGCGAATTCCTTGGTGGGAAATTGAAGAAGGGAGATTTGTGACGATTTTCCCTTCTACTGGTTCCTGGAATCAAAATTTTTAGAGAAATTTTAAGCACCCATAAGAGATAGAGAAAGGGGAGATTTTGGGTCGAGAGCACTTACTGAGGAGCGATAGATGCGGTTTGATCGGGAAAGCTTAAGCACCACCGACATCACGGCTGCACAGACGACGCCTGCTACTGTGAATTGCCGAGAGGGAGTGTGAGCGAGACCGTATTGGACGGACCGATGGAGTCGTCTCGTCTTGGCAGGAGATATTCTGGCCTTCTGGGATCTTTTTCAGTTCGAGTTTTTGATGGTCCAACCAAACTTGGACCGGTCCAACCCCAAGTTTCATGGACCAGGGCCGACATTGGGCTCAATTTCTTGCGCCCGAAGTCAGTTGGGCTGGATTTAGTAAGGCTTGGTCCGTGAACCCGTAAGTGTAAGTATATATAATATTATAGTATGTGCATCTACCAGGCGGCCCAGACCAGGCCTTGGCTAAAACGAGCGATACCATCGGCGACGGAGAGCAGAGGTTTAAAAGAAGAGGAACGCCGTCGACGGAAAGAGAAGCTGGCGGGAAGACTTACACATGGCTACGCTTCAGACATGGAGAAAGGTTTACGGCGCTATCAAAGATGCCACCGAAGTCGGTCTTGCCAAAGTAACCAAAGAATTCAAGGTTTTATTTCAATTTTCACCTTTGATGTTCTCTCTCCTTGTTCTTTTCCTAAAAATTTTGTTTTGAACTCTTTTTCAATCTGTTTCACTCTCTGAAGAATAGAAATGAGATTTTTTCCTATTTTTCTTGTGGATTTGATCTTGATTTTGGAACTATTCGTTGTTTGTAATGGAAGGATGTGGATGTTGCGATCGTCAAAGCTTCTAATCATGTCGAGTGCTCGCCTAAGGAGAGACATATCAGGAGTGAGTGTTTCTATTAGCTCGGTTTGGTTAGTTGTGGTTTGGCTTTGGAAGATTTCGTTTTGATTTTGTAAAGTAATGAATTCGTTGCAGAAATCTTGGCTGACACATCAGTGATGCAACCCCAAGCGGATGTTGCCTACTGTATGCATTCCCCCGCCTGGCGGTTGGCGAAGACGGACAACTGGATGGTATGTTTCTCTTGTTCTTCTAATTCGATGAGAGTGCTGAACTTTGTACGTTTTTGGTACTCACTTCGGAACAAGACCTGGATCTAAATGGGAAACTGATGGCAGTGCTTTTGTCGGGGTTTTCATTGTGGTTGTGAACTTGTAGTTTGTCTGAAGTTTTGTGTTGTTTATGTGTTTGAAACTTATAAGTGATTGGACATGTGAGGACAAGGGGTATGCTCTTAGAACACTATTTAATCAAGTAATTTAGGGTTCTAAAGAAATAAAACTTGGCAAAGCTAAAAAGAAGGGGAAATTGTGCAACAGGTTTTTCAAACTGTTTATTAGCTTGTTTCACAATTGAAAAATATGAAATCTTCAGTGGTGTCTCCTGTTAAATACAATTCTTTTAGAAAAATCCATTACCCGATCATACAACAGGAGTTTCTTGAAGTTCTATTGGTTTCAGATGTTTATTTTTGTCAAAACTAAATAAAAAAAGGAAAAAATAAATAAATAAACAAGCTTCCCATGGACATTGGAATTTCTTGGGTTCAACATCTTACAACATGTATAGTATATCCTCTTAATGTCCATAGAACCCAGTATGCGCTGATAATAGATTTTTATTGGTAACAGTTAAACTTTATTAATTTTGATAATGAATATTCTATATACACTAAGTACCAATTACTCCCAAGTATAGGCTAGCGTCCGCTATGTAACCTTCCTCTTTATAAACACAAGAGATCATGTTACAACTGTACCTAGAAAAGTTAAGCCCAATTTAGCCCTTATTTGGCCATCGTATCAACCAAACTATTTGCTGATCCAAGAACCCATGAATAATTAGTTACCAATTCCCTAGTAAGCTGTCTTATCTCCCTCAAGGTATCTTTTATTGCCATAATCCCTGACTTTCACTCTTGAGCCAATCTACTAACACCCTAGACCTAGAATCTCCCTCCAATATATTTCTGAAGCCATAGGATCTCGCTAGTCCCAGTCCATGTAATAATGGATTCTGACTTTTCTTCTAAACATAATTCTTATTTTGCCTTTATCGAGTCAATAATTAGACCATAAGGAGCTTTCAAAAGCCACCATATTTTTGTTAGTCGCTAAATCTGCCATCAAGTAAACATAAAACGCTTGATTATAGTTCTCTCCAGTTTTCTTATTCTTTCTAGTGCCATTGTGACCTTTCTGTAAGTTTTCAGCATATAAAAGTTCTTTTTACACAGTAGTCAGTAGGCTTATTCTGTGGTGAAGGATCTAATCATCTTAATTTAAGTGTTATTACCAAATCTGCATGATTCTCATTTCCTACCTCTACGTACCTCATGAAAAGAATGAGAAAGAAGCTCTTTGTTGGAAGTGGCTACACAGTTTTAAATTATTAACACTAAAATCAACCATGTGATATATTTATTTATTTTGTCAAGGAATGAATGTTTATCCATGTAAACTTTAAGAGCATATACTGGCTGTTTTGTTGCTATAAAGTTTAGTGAACACCTTCCCCATTTTCAATAAAAAGAATATGATATCCTTCATCCTTGCTTCCTATCATTTTTGGTGGATGTTGAAACCATTGCTACTGCTGCAACAACAGCAGTAGGATTTAAAGATGCAAACAAGATTCTTAATTACATAAGTTCCACACTGCCACCAAGAAACCAATGGTAATGTTGAAACCATTGCTCTTGCACTTCTCCAAAGTAATTTGAAGCATTCATGGGCAAGCATCTGATGGATGGGACGCAGAGGTTTTGGCTAGGGCTATGAGGGCTTCTCCTTAGAAGTCTATTTGTGCTACCCTACCTTCTTTCTTTCCTTTTATTGGGTATGATGTGTGTGCTCTGGTAATTTGGTGAAATTCTGGGAACATGTTTGGGTGGGGGACTCTACCTTGAAAGAGCAATCCCCTTCATTGTTCTCCGTCTAGATTTAAAAATGAATCTTTCTCTAAGTTCTTGGTTCCTTCCCACTCTAGTCTTGGCGTTGAGTGGGATTTGGGATTTACAAGGGGCCTCAGAGATTCTGAATACATAGCATTTCAGCTTTGATTCAATTATTGGAAGGGGTGGTATTAGATCCAGCAAGGGTGGATAACAAAGTCTGGACTTTACCCTCTGGAGCTTTTTGTTGGGAAGTCTCCTATAAAGGTGCAACACTTACGATTTACTTCAAAGAAAATAACCTTTTTGGTGTTTATCTCCAAATTGGTGCATCCTTTGTAAGGCTAATGGTGTGAAACCTGCTATCACTTATTAATCTCTTGCCCTTTTGTTTCAGCTATATGGGATTGGTGTTTTTCTTTGTTTGGTTGCAAGTAGACCCCCCACCCCCCCAAAAAAATGTACAAGGTTTGTTTGCTTCTTGCTCTGTTAGAGGGGGTCTAAGAAGAAGGGTAAATTATTGTGGAGAAGTGCAAGAGCTTCTGTTTGTTGGACAATTTGGAAAGAAAGGAACCAAAGAATCTTCTCTGAAAAGGAAAGAAGCAAAGAAGCCATTCTTGAAACTATTTCATCTAGGGTGGTATATTGGGTGAAGTCCTTGGATATTTTTGAGGGTAATTCTGCTGATGCTTTGGTTAGAAATAGGAAGAATGTGGCTAATTCTGCTCCCACTGAAACCTTGACTCATCCAATGTGGTCCCCCCCTGAAGCAGAGTTCATAAAGCTGAATTTTGATGGGAGTACTGAAGGTAACACAGGTCACAGACCCATCTGGATATTCATGAATGAGGAAGGGAATGTGATTGCTCTATTCTCAGGATCCATTAGAGTAGGTGACTCTCTTAGAACTGAAGTTTTGGCAGTGATGGAAGTGGTTAAAAGAGCAAAATAACAGAATGTCAGAAACAAGAATAAAAAAATCACAACGTATCAGGGCATATTGGCTGATACGTATTGTATCAGGGGCTTCCCGATACGCCCCTACAGGGGAAGTTTCGGGGTTTGGTCTAGTTCAGGGGGTAAACTGGCCTTAAACCGACCCCTCCAAACCAGTTTCAAAGAAAAAATAAAAAAATAAAAAGCAACCAATGAAAGAGGCTTGCCCAAGACATGGAGTTAAGACTACAGTGGGTGAAGAGGAGTGTTAGTTCTTTTGCTGATGTACTTTCAAAACAAGGGGCGGGAAGGAATAAAATATTCTGGGTTGTGTTGTAATCTGACTTTGTTTTTGGGGGAGGGTTAATAGATTTTATCCCTCCCTTTCCCCTATTGTATCTGTTCTATTTTTCTATTTAATAAAATTAACTTCTGTTATTGATCAAAAAACAATATAGTCTATCTTCTTCAACAGTTGGCATCAGTGCTAATGCTTGCCACTACAACCATATTGTTAGAACTTCAACTATAGTCTAGATCTAAATTGGTTAGGTAAAGTGGTACTTGTCTCAAAAACATTGGATCAAGATGTCTAGTTGCTGCAGCATTGCCAGAAAACTCAACACTTTGAAACACCATTAACAGCACCAAACAATTCATCCAGATCATGATACGGTTAAGTCAACCTTCCAAACACCAAATAGATCTCATGTAACTCAAAGTAGTCATCAAAATCCTTCAAACAAAGCTGGGCAGTAGCATTGAGATTGAGTTTAGGTTATTAGCTAAAATGATTAGGATGGAAATGAAGGGAGACAGGGAGTTTCATCTGACAATCATGTTCTGTTACTGACATACTACGTTAAACTTGTATAATTGATATAAGTCCTTTACTGAAAAAAAAAAAAGTACAAGTGAAACAAGTCTATATTGCCAAAAACAGTACCAGAAACAGCTGTTAACAGTAATATAATAACATATGATAGCACACACCATTAAGATGTCTATATCATCGACATACTTATTCTGTTTCATGTGACAGTGTGACTACACAACAGGGGTAGCCTGTGAAACAATTCTTGTTGCTTCATGATTCCACTGTTTTGAAAATATGAAGAATTAGGAAGGACCAAAGAGACTCTTTGATGACTATTAGTCATAACTGTGAGTCTGACAGAGAAGGTCTTAGTCCTTGAAAAGTGAGGAGAGGTTTTGTTATTTATCAGAAACATCAAGGGAGGTTTAAGTCTTTTCCCCTTAACAGTTGTGTGCATATTTATTTGAAACACGAAAGGAAGTTTTTGAGGAAGTCAAAGACTGTACAAGGGAGGTTTCAAGTAGTCAGAAAACGTAGGGCAGGTTCAAGTCATTTTCCCTTCTTTTTGTTCGTTTGAATAATAGTTAGATTTCTTTTACCAAAACAAGAACAAGAGGTAGAGAAAGTATATGAAATTTGAGTAGGAATTAATTGCAGAAACAATGAAACATGCATTAAATACATCATTGATATGAATTTGAATTTGTCTGTATGAGAAGGTGTGTTTTAGATTTTGAGTTCACATCCACCCCCTCCCTCCGCCCCCCTTTCTTGTTATTGTTTTTCTCTTTTCTTTTCACTGGAGCTAAGGAATGGTGAATTATCTGCAGCGTCTGTTCTCATCAATGATGGAGATTTCTAGGCCTATGTTAGGGCTAGCAGTCATTCGGTCTGAAAGTGTTATTGCATCTTCTTCGCTTCATTTGACAAGGAGACTCAGTTCTTCAGGGCCCCAACAACAACAAGAAGAAAATCCTGAAAGTACAGTAGAAGAAAAATGCTCTTGTCATGACTCGAGAGCAGAAGATAAACATAGTGAGTCAGGTAACGTAAATGAGGAAGAAGAAGATGATGATGTTGGTGTTTATGTAAATAAGCAGACTGGTGAGATCGGAGGGCCAAAAGGACCAGAGCCCACCAGGTATGGTGATTGGGAGCGTGGCGGCAGATGCTCAGATTTCTGATGAAATAAAAATAAGAAAAATATGTTAAAAGACCCTGCAGGTTGTGACTCAAGTGAATCACAACATCACTTTTGGGAGCCGTTGGGCATTTCTTTTCAGTTCTCTTGTTTAATTGTTTTAACCTGTTTTTCCCATTTTGTTATCTTTTTTCTGAATAAATAGATAATTGACCGTTAAGCTTACTTAATGTAAACTATTTCAAATGATCCAGTTTAGCAAACTAGGGCTGCATTTTTTCCCTTTCCAGGCTAAGAGCCATTAAGTTCTTTCTCTCGATTCTTCCAGAATATGATCATCTCTAGACTCTATCTCAGGTATCATTGAAGACAGGCCAATTGCAGAACATAATAGTCCAGACGTACATGTACATTGTACAACGTAGTGACCAACCCACCCCAACCCTCATATACCCCAATTCGTAGGTTGCTGTATGTGAGAGTAGTTGGGTGCTCAGAATATTTGGGATTCATGGGCAAGCTCGGATAGCAGATAGAATTGAATCAACAAATTAGGTTAAGATGAATGGTAGCTTTATCAACATAGAGTCCACTAAGAGCACTGGTAGTGGTAGGATTTTAGTTTATTTGCGGATGTTGTATATGTTTATACAAAGGTTCATATATAAATTAAACCAATGAACCATGTATGCATGAACAACTAAATCATACAAATATTCAACCAAGTATACTACATTATCTCTTTGGACAATGTAATGAATGCAATTTTTTGCGTTTTCATTACTTGCATTGTCTTCAAACCAAGGTTTTAAAAACTGATCCGGAAATGAAACCGTTCCTAATTATTGGTTTCCGGGTCAGTGGTTCGATCGTCCTGGTTGAACGGTCCGGACGGTTTGCATTAGGGCAAATATTTATATGAGAAAGAAGAACTAGAGAAGAGACTTGTCGGTTAAGAAAGAAAAAAAAAAGAAAGAAAGAATAAAAGAAGGAAAGAAAGAATGGAAGGAGAAAGGGGAAAAAAAAGAAAAAGAGAGAAAGGAAAGGAAGGAGAGAAGGAAGAGGAGGATGATTCAACGCTCACCGATGATGATAATGGCGACGATGACAGCAAGGCAGCGGCAACAAACGCAGATCTTGTATCTCAGATCTAAGATCAATTTCTCTGCAACGTTTGCAGTCTTCTTCTTCTTCTTCTTCTTCTCTCTCTCTCTCTCTCTCTATCTATCTATCTATCTATCTATCTATCTTTGTGCTAGATCTTAGATCTGAGTCCATGTCTCAGACTCTCAATTTATCCCCGCTTTGCAATTTTCTTAAACCACAAACCACTATCTAGGTCAAACGAGTCAATGGTTCGACCACCCAGGTCTATGGTTTTCTAACGAAGTCAACGGTTTTTGACCCAGGAACGGGTTAGGGTGAAATCGAACCGGTTGCTTGGATGTTTTTTGGGTCAAACGGTTCGACCGTTTGGATCAACTACGGTTCAAAAATATTGCTTCAAACAATTATTATAAATACACTTTCTTTTCATATAAAGATAGAAATTATCTAATAAATCTAAAGATGCAAATAAGTATGCCATTATAGATTAATAGCTTACCCTCTAATGAAATACGAGCACATTATGGATGATTAGACTCTGGACTGGGGGTGGCAATTTCTAAGTTTCTGATCCAACCCATCCATTTAAAATGTGGGTTGAATATGGGTTGTAGGTGTGAGCAAGAAAAACCAAAAAACCAAACCAGAAAAATCGATCGACACCATATCGAAAATCTAGTTAATCGAACCGATTGGTTCAGTTTTGGTTCAATATTTTAAAAAAACTGAAGGTATCGGTTTGGTTCAGTTGCCAATATAGAAAACCGACGGTTAACTGAATCGACCAATATACATATGTTTCTATATATTTTATGTATATTTATGTGTATTATATATTTTTATTTTCTATTTATTATAAATTAATAAATATGCATTATATATAAATATATATTTATAATATAAAATATATTATTTGTTATTTAAATATAACGTTATATATTTCTAGTTTTTATTATATATTTATACATTTTTTATAATATATACTATAAATATAAAAAAGCTGAAAAATCGACGAAACAAACCCATGGTTAACCAATCATCTTCGGTTCAATTTCAGTTACTGGTTTTCCAAAACTAGTAATACTGGTTCGATTTCAAAATAGGCCCACGGTTCGATTAACGGAACTATAAGCACCTCTAATGGGTTGACTAACCATTGGATCAAATTAAAAGGGTTGAGTTAGGTTGGGTTATGGGTATCCATTAGGTTTAGTTACATAAAGGAAGTTGTACATTACCATTTTTTAACATTTATTTCTCTTCCTCCTTTGTTCCATTTTTTTTTCTCTCTCTCACGCATTCTCTCTCTTCCTTTTCTTTTCTCTCATCTCTCCTACAAATTCTCTTAATTCTTTCTTCTCTTCTCTGCATATGTTTTTTCTCTCTTCTTCCAAATTACTCTCCACTTGTTTCTCTCCCCCTCTCTCTTTTCCGCTTAAAACCTGGTCAGTGAGAAGACGACCCTCTACTTGCCCAATAATATCATGTCTCATTAAGGTGATATTCATCAAAATCACAGGGGGGTTTTACGGGTCAAAGCTCTTTTAGTATCATGACCTTCTGGTATTACCGGTAATTTATTTAGCCACTAACAATTGAACATGTCGGCATGACATCATTGAGCCAGCAAAGAATCCTCTCTCACAAACTCCATTACTCCCCTCTCTCTCTCCCACCTTTGTCTTTCTCCTCTCTACCATCTCTGATGTGTTTCTTTCTCCTATGTTTCTCTCATTTGCACTTTGATGCATTTCTTTCTCCACTCTCTTATCTCTCTCTCCCCTTTCTCTTTTCTTTCTCTCTGGCTTTTAATGAATCTATTTTTTTATGTTTGTGTTGAGCCAAGTGGCAACATAGAAAACACCTAAACATTTTTTTTTCTCGATAACGATTTATGTACATAAATTCAAATGTTGAAATGGATCCGAGTGGGTGGATTGGGTTGGATTGCAACCCATGTACATACAAAACATATGGGTCCATTAATGGATGTGGGCAGTTGATGGATGGGTTGGTCTTCAACCCCTCATCAAACCCAACCCAACCCAACCTCTCCATTTAACACTCCTATCTAGATATATAAAAGCCCGGGATATTAATAACTTGACTTCACCATCATCGTCATCCTCCAAAAGAAAAGTTGATTCCTTGGCTTTAAAATTTGAAAGTAAGGCTGTAAATCAGCATTCATGAACTTCACCAATTTACAACTGTCTTACTAAGAGAGGTAAATTGAATTGCACCAAATCATGATTCTCCACCCCCTCTGGTTTGGAAAAATGGTTAAGCAACCTTTCTGGATGTAGCAAAATTTCAAACCATGCAATAATCAAATAGTGGCAGTGTTTTAAGCAGTAAATGCAGATTAGGCTGTTTCGAGGATATGGCTTGGGAGACATTTCATGTCTGTTGGAAACGTGGCAAGCTGTAAATCCTCTTCTTTGAATGAAAAAGATGAGGGAATAGTTGTGCTCATTGACGAGGAAATTATGCTTTAGGCCTAGTGAGACTTTGGTTCTCAAACTTTAAAATGTAATAATTTAGTACTCGAGATTTTAAAATGTGCCAATCCAATATGTTTTGTTAATGAACGGTCAGTTATGTGTATCATGTGACAACATTTGCTACTCAAGACTTTTGAAAATATCAAAATTATCCTTTGAAATAAAACACCAAAGAGGATGAAACAGAACCCAAATTCTCTATCATAAACACCAAAACCTGCCTAATAAAACCATTCCTATTCTCCAAAGAGAAAACTTGAACTTTTCCTTTTTTCTCTATAGCATTTCTCACATTTTATTAGTTTGTATTACTTCTTCCCGAATAATAAGTCTTGTACAGTTTGTACAAACAAGAAGCTTTATATGTTTCAATTGCTAAATTCTCCTAAGGCACATAACAGATGGTATCGGAGCCTACACTATGCCTCTTAGTTGCAATCGTGCGGCGTAGGTGATGACGTCATTATTGTAGTGTTCGGCCGGGACTAGGGGACTAGTGCAAAGCCAGCCTGCACGAGTGTCGGGACTGTGGAACATGGTGGAATGTTATGATGCATTGGTCCCACATCACATCGGTAGTATGGGATGCCCGGTGTTTGTCCCTTGGCCTCCTAGAAGCAAATGTCAGTATGGAAGAGGGAATAGTAAGAGAAAGAGATTCTATCATCCCATTGCAGTAAATCATACTGATTCTTTTTCTATATTCTGTATATCTTTTTACTCAACTCATGCCTTTACTCCCATGTGAATCTGGTTGTGGAAAAAGGATTTGATTTTAGAGGGAAAAATTTGACTATTAGTTTTGATTTGAACGAATGGTTGATAAAAAAAATTAGATGACATAAAAAAGACATTTATGTTTTTTCACATGTCACTAATGGTAGGTACTAAATTAATTGACACGTTTTGAAAGCCCATATACTAAATTATCACGTATTAAAGCTCAGGAACCAAAATGACACTAATCCCAAAGTATAAGATATTAATAAAGAATTTTCCCTAAAATTTGAGACAACCAGCAAAGCAGTAGCTTTTCTGGCCATGAAATCGCGTTGTGACCATTTCAATGGACAAATGAATGGATTATGGATGCAAACAAATTTAGACCGGATTTGGTAAAGAGTATATCCGATCTGATCCTATCGATCCAAATCCAAAAAGAATCTCTCAGATTTTTAAAAGTATGATTCAAATTAGATTTCGAATATTTTATCGGAAATACGGTTCGAATCCGATTCAATTATTATTGTAATAGAAAAATTTTATGATATAATATAAATAATATATTATAATATATAATACAATAATATATTATAAAATATAATATATAATATTTCATAATTAAATAAATCAACTTTCTAATCCGAATTGGATTTAGATTCGAATACTATCTGATCCAACTTATTTGCAATCCTATAATGGATTGATCCATCATGGATATATGGTCGAAGACGTGCAAACTCAAGTGGGTTCAGTTGGGCAAGTAGGGTCAAGTTTGTTGTTCTTCCCAAAAGCAAATACCAACAATTCCAATCCAGGATGCTCAATGAAGACTTAGACGTTCTTGGCTTGGCTATGCTTTGTGCCCAATCCCAATTTGTTCAGTTGCTATCGTACAATGGCCTTTATTTAAACTGAACTTGTCCTTCCGTTTTTGCAAAATTCAGAATCG